CCTGGTAAAACTGATCGTGTTTGAGAAACAAAAAACAGGAAAAACTAACAAAAACAGTACAAACACTGGAGAGCCAAACACTGAGGCTGCCGTCTGCGGCGCCATCGCTGGCGAAGTTTAGCCATTTAGAATGTATTAATTTAAAGATTTAGTGAAATGTTGACAACAGAATTACCTTTTTAATATTTGTAAGTAACAATAGTGAGTAAATATTGTAAATATTTTTGTTACATTTTATCAATTAATTTTTCGAGTAAATTAAAGAGCCTATCACTCCTCGCCCTGTCTTCTGCATCTCTCCTTTCTTCCCACTCCTTCTGACGTGCCATGTCTTCCTTCAGGAGCTCAAGAAGAGGATCTGATTTGTTTTTTCTCTTTCTTGGCCGTGACTGCTCTATACCTGGCCTCTCCTGCTGTTCTGCTTCCTGGGTAGGCTCAACAGAACTGCAACCTGGCTGTGGTCCGTCATCAGGCAGTGAAGCAATGAGAACGGGGGAGAAATGGAAGGCCTCTGACCCAACATCTCATCCATTAGAACAAACCACGGCCAGGTTTCAGCAGTTGGCTTTCTGTTGTTCAGGCCCTCACCTGACCCTGGATGTTTGCATTCCTAAGACAGAAAAATGTTAATGGTGATGGCATAAATACTCACTCATGCCACCTCTGAGCCTCATTAAATATCTGAAAATACACCTACGAGCCAGTTTTGTGTTCTTCTGTGCACTTCTGTAGTACAAATTATTTTGCTTATACTGATTTTATATGATTGGTAACTTATTCTTCTTATTCTATTGTTTAATTAGAAAGTGTAAAAAGCTTATAAATATACATTTTTGAATTTGACATAAAAGATGACAAACTTTTAATAAAATTAGAAAAATGCCATTAAAAAAAATGCCTCTGTAATAGACAATAGACTTTAAGGAGTCAAATATCACCTCGTAATGGGAAGGCAAATTTTTGATCAGAATTTTTGATTATTGATCAGAAGGTGCTCCTGAATCTTTTGACTGTGCCAATTATCAACATAATGTATTTTATATGAATTGAAACTTAAAAAGTTAATTTTTATAGAGTTGAGACAACTTAGACATGGGACTGTACAAGGCCTACATCTTAGCTTACCTTATACTTTTTTTTTTTTATTTGTCCCACTTTTTCTTTGCTTGTGCTGGTGTTATTTTACTGGACAGGTCCATTTTCTCCAGAAATCTATAATCATAAAAATAACATAAGCATAACATCACAATTTAGAGTGAAAACTCCTTACACATCCTTAGAAATAAGACTGCCCTTCTGCCTAACATAGGGGTTGCACAATGCTGGTCCTGGAGAGCTGCTGTCCTGCAGAGTTCAGCTCCAACCTTAATCAAACACCTGAACAAGCTAATCATGTTTCTAAGGGTTACTGGAAAGCAACAGGCAGGTGAGTTTGTATAAGGGTTGGAGCAAAACTCTGCAGGACTGGTCTAGCCTGGTCTAACATGTCCTTCTTGACAGAACTTTATTTTTTCCTTTCAGGCCTTTCAGGCAATAATGAGATTAATTCTGCTCAAAAAGAAGAAAGACTGACTGCCTACTTTTTAATTCTAAGATCGTACCTCCAACCATATAAGGCTGTATTTTTAGCTCCAGTGAAGAGATCAGAATGTTCCTGCCTCAATCTTATAAATTTCTCAGTATTTTCCTTGCTCCCTATTCAAAACAAAATTGAACAGGACTTTACTGTTGATTTTGCCATCTTGTAGTGTTTGGTCATTTTAGATAGATTTTTTTTTTCATATTTTTTTCTGAATTTGTCTTATTTTAACTGTAATAATGCAAAAAACAATACTTAAACATTTCGAACAAAAATCTAAATTTTGACAAAAAAAGTCTTATACAAGATAAATACACACACACTCTTATTCCTATCATTATAGGCATAATGGTTTTTACACTGTACAAACATATTCTATTCCCCTAAACCTACCCATTTTAAAATAGTTTTATATTAAAACTATACTTATTTTCTATACTTGATATAGACAATTTATTTTCTATACTTGATATAGAAAAAAGGTGCATAATTTATTTGAATATTAGTCAGTGAACTAAAATAGCGAACATTAATTTCATAACACTAAAAACAGAAATTAATTTATTATAAAATTATTGTCTCCGGTCAGTTTCTACAGTGAACAATATGAAAGTGACCCCAAAATGTAATACCAGAGGGTTAAACAAATTAATTATTTCTCGCCTTGTTAGCAAAGTGCTGTTAAACGTTTAAAAATCACTAAAGACTTGTAATCATGTTTATCACACCTGTAATACAACTAAAAAAATTAAGAACTTTGAAATACTTACATTTAAACACCACATCTCCACTTGTGTGCAGATCTGCCGGCGCCGCCATTTTTTCAAATAAACGACGGTTATTTATGGCGACGCAAAGAATTGTGGATTATCTGTAGCAGCGAAGGATACACCTCATGCATCCTCCGAATTCCTGTGAAAGAAGGTCGCATTCGAAGGTCGCATTCGGAGTGTCCTACTTGCTTTTCTGAAATGAGACAGCCTCGATGACGTATGCAGCCTTCGAATGCGACCTCCAGAGGACACAGCCTTCTAAATGAGACACAGATTTGTCTGAGAGAGCGCGCGACACTGACGCACACTGAACACTCACTCTCTCTCAATGTGTGAGATAGAGCGAGCGAGAGACAGAAAAGACTCACAAGCCAATGTAGCCTATCCCTATGAGAAAATAATAATAATAATAATAATAATAATTCTGCTTTTTAATAACAAAGGCTTACAATAAAAGTAAAACATTTAGGCCTGTGCATACACCGGGGAAGAAAAAAGAGTCATTTTGAAGTAAAATTATAATTATTTTCAATAATGAAAATATTTATTCTTTTTTCTTTCTTTCTTTTTCAGATTGTCATCCAATTGTTGTAAGTGATCAATCTAGCAGCCATCCTGCATCTTGGATTTGCCATGTTCAACACACTGATTAATACCCTTACGAAAAAGAAGTTTATTCAAGTGTGCTATTAGTATACTTCTTTTAAGCTAAAAATAGGAAAGTATACTTTTAGTCTACTTTTTATGTACTTCTCAGAAATGGGCTTTATGTACTTCTCAGAAATATACTTATTACCATTGAGATTACTGAGGTCTGACTTACTATGTGCCAATATGTGTCCCCACTTTATCTCTCTCTTTCATTCATTCTGTCCCTCTTTTAGGATAAACTTGAGGTCCCGAGTGTTCTTAGAGTTTCTATAGTGTTTTTATGCATTTGTTGATATCACTTTTTCAATAATAAATTCAAATAAATTCTCATATCGTATTTTTATATGGTGTCATTCTGGGGGTGAGGGGGGAAGAGCGCGTGTGTGTGTGTGTGTGTGTGTGTGATATTTGTGGAAACAACATTGTTATAAAAACTGGAGGAAGTCTTTTATAATTTTTTTGTAGTTTTTAGTGAACCAATTAATTACATGAACAGTTATACTAATCCAAGTAGCCTACTTAATTTAGAAAACAAACTAATATTGCTTTGGTAAATTTTGTTATTATTAATGAAATAAATATAGGTCTGTATTTCATATACATTTCCATTTGGAATCCAGAATCGGGCCAGTACAGGCTAATTGTATAATCTATGCTGGCGTGATTGTGGCCTGATGCCGGCAGTGTCGGCTCAGTTTCGGCAACCGGACTCGGGCCAGCATACTCGGGCCGATTCTGGTGCGTCATTCACTCCCGTGATTCACAAGAGTCCGGCAACCGCATCCGGGCCAAGTTATTTCTTCCGGCTTGCCGGATTTGGGCCGTTATTGGGACAGATCTTTTTGGCTACATGGGCTTCCAAATTGCTGTGTTCCATTACAGCCGCTGGTTTCACATCTGGTTCTATAACTGATTCTTTGTTTTATTTTATTGTATATAAATAATGGTCATTGTCAAAGTCATTCATTTGTGTCGGTGTACTGGTGCTAGAATAAGCAAAATAAATGAAACATAAATTCATAAATTAAATCCGCGATCTGTCTACTTTAATGCCTCAGTCCTGTTATTTCATAGGCAAAGTCCATTTGAACTTAATATTTAATTACGATATTGAAAAAAAAAAACAATGCTAACGCATTATACATTACTATAATGTAAAGGAAACGGCTCGCTGAGGTTCGTGTAGTTGAACCAGACACTGAAGCAGTCACGTGATTTTCAGACGAACGAAGCTTCAAACGTCATAGATCACGTGCTTTTGGCAAAACGCATCAAGCTCCGATACAGTGCTTTGATATGAAATGTGTTGTTTTTTTACACAAGCTTCGAAGCTTCCGTGCCGAGCGTAACATCACTAGTGTTTGGTAGAAGTGTGTGTTGAATGGTTTAGCTCTGAACATGGAAGACGACCTCGCTGTCCGTTTCCAGGCCTTCCCGCTCCTTGAGTTTCTCCACCGCTGGAAAGCTGCTTCAATATTTACGCGGGTCCTACCTCTTGCCTGATCGTAACCCTTCTTTTTAATGTTTTGTCTCCCCGAAATTTTCTTCTTTATCTGTCATCTCTTGTTGTCTATAGTCGATCTGCTAATATCCGTCCCTTGCACTCACTGAGCGCTCTCCTCCCTATCATTACTAGACACGCCCCTTACTGCTGATTGGCTGCTTGTGTGTCTTGGGACTCGGTCCGACACTGTGGTCAAAAGCGTTTTTCATATATTGATTAATGCACCTATGATTAATGGCTTCTGGGATTTTGATGGGGCTCTAAGCGGCCGCTTATACCTTGCTTATCGGTTTGAAAAATCTAAAAATGTCTGTACAAACAAAAAAAAAAACGACATGTATTTAGGCAACCTTTGTGCTCTTGCAAATACACATTTATTTATTCATTTTTTTTAAAAAGGCAGATATTTAAAGGGGTCATATGATGCGATTTACATTTTTCCTTTCTCTTTGACGTGTTACAAGCTCTTGGTGCATAAAGAAGATCTGTAAAGTTGCAAACACTAAAGTCTCAAATCCAAAGATGTTTACGCGGCGCGATGCAACGCAACACGTAAAAAGACAGTATAAGACAGTCATTATAATCCGGCCTGACAAAAACACGGCCTGACAGTATGGTAAGGGGCGTAACATTTCCGTCACACCCTTGAGGTATTCGGTCAATCACAAGTTCGCACACACACACAAATTTACTCAGCTATCTAAATGGGGACATTGCATAAATGTCTGTTGTTTTAATATACAAACCCACATCCTAACAAATCCTTTTGCATTTTTACAAAAAAAAAAATGAGGATGGGAGATTTTTTAGGTTTACCTCACTTCTGGATACAAATTTGTCCCCAAATTGTGGTTAAGAATGTACACACACACACACACACACACACACACACACACACGGTTGTTTGTATTTTGTAAGTTGTTAGTAGATGAAAACAGAGCACAAACATATGCATGTTTAAAGGTAATTTTATAGATATAATATATAATTCTTTTATTTAAGATATGAATTTGAAAGACAAAAATACATGGTATGATTGAAACATATCTTGCACTACATCATAATGTTTTGCACAACAGGCATCACATGTGCAGTAAATGAAAGTTCAATTTAAATATTAAATAACTGATGACAAAAAAAGTAAATATGTAAACACTAAGCTAGTAAGATATTTGTTTTTCTATTGCAACACTTCCGATTAAAGTGATTTGGTAACAGTACAAAGAAAGAAGTAATTGAACAAAACTAATTTTCTTCCCGTTGTGGTGGCAAAACACCGTGCTCTTCAAACAACCTTGTAGTTATTTACTTGAATTTTGTAAAAAAAAAAAAAAAAAGGTCCGTGGATTTCATTTTTCCTCCAACACGTTTGCGCACACCATGCCGAACGCCTGGAAATAAGCCTAAATGAAAACTCAACCATCTGTTGTTTTAAACCTAATAATGCTGAAGTACTGACGATTCATTGGTGTGTATTTTTAGGAAGGGGGCATTAATGTGAACAGTCCTTCTGTGCATGTGTGTGTGTGTGTGTGTGTTTGTGTGCGTTAGTGGGCTTCTCTATTTTTAATTCCCATTCAAGCAGATGACAGATTTTGATTTAGTTAGGCCCCTATGCTGGATTAAAATCAGTATAGACTTGACTAGACTAGATTAAATTAGCATCTGGGAGAGAAAGGGGGGTCGGCAGGTGACTCTGTGAATGACTTGAGCTCATAGGCAGCACCACTGTCCACTTCCATGGATTTACGGGAGAAAAGGAGCCGGATGTCCCGATGGAGGTAGATCTTTCCAGATTTGGAGCTCTGGAACCTGAGAGACCGAGACAGAGAAAAAAGAGAGAAAGTGCAAACAGTTAATAAGAGAGTCACTAATAAGACTCACTAAAACAACTGATCAGACTTATTTTGGCAATGTTTAAACCACTGAGTGGCAAATACAGCTAGTTAGCAACAGTTTCCTTGTCTTCCTCAAGGGGGCGTTTGATGGCTCAGAAAGTTTAATCCTTTGTAGGTCCTTCATTCAAAAGGGGGCACAAAAGGGGTCGTTGTGTCTTTTTTTTTTTTGGTCTCATGGAAGAGATTATACTATACTAATCTAAAAGTTTTATATAAAAAAATATATAATTAAAAATTTATGCAGTAATCACAAAGGACT